GCTTCATGGTCTTATGGCAGTAACGTAAATTGAGGTGTTTTCCAGCCGGTCGACGTACACGGCAAATGCCATCACTGCCAATGATGTTGAACTTCAATTCATCACTGAACAGGAAAGTTCGCCATTTCTGCACATTCTAGTCAACATGAGATGTAGCAAACAGAAGTATTTTCTTCTGGTTTTTTAGTGAAATTAGCGGTTTCTTTGCAGGGCGTCAAGTAAACAATTTGGCTTCAATAGCACGTCGTCTGATAGTTCGGTTTGATACAGGCAGCTCTAACTGCTTATCTTGACTGATGATATCCAGGGATCCTTTATGACGGATCTGACTATCATAGAACCCTCTCTAGAAATGGTGAAACGCAGTCTTCCATCTTTGTTATCTGCTGCCAACTTCCCCGTAGAACGATATTTGGAACATAGTCTTGATACGGCCTATTTTTTCACGCAATGTTTATCACAAATACTTTTTTGTGACATTCCACTTACGTAATCGCCAATAATTTTCTTTCTTAGTTCCAATCCAAGACTATCGGGAGCCATTTTTGCACTTGAAAACATAAAAATAATAAAAATAAATAATCGCGCTTCTCAAGGCTTACCGTGTTACATTTACCTTGTGATAATACAATAATGCTTTGTGGAGCACAACGTCTTGGTTGGATGTGGACTGTATTGGTGTAATAAACACTTGTTGTATTTCACTTCTTGTATTGATGTTCTTCGATAAAACACTTTGATAAAACTCACTTCGATAAACTGTCTTGATAATATTGACTGATTGACTTCCATATACTGACTGAATTACATGTAGGTTTACATGTCTCTTATATAGTAAAATGAACCTGTGTGAACCTGTTCTGGAAGATTCTAGATGCTTCTTTTCTATGCTTCTGGATGCGTCTGGATGCTTCTGAATGTTTCTGGATACTTCTGGATGCTTCTGGATGCTTCCAGATAGTTCTTCTGGAAACTTCTGGAAGCTTCTGCATGCTTCTGGAAACTTCTGGATACTTCTTTTAATTATTAAAAAACTTCCGTGACATTGACACGCACCAGACTTAAGAAAATAAAACAAACCAAAAAATTTGTTTTATTTTCTTATTTTTACTTTTATATTTTTTTTGTCTGCTGCAAAATGGCACTTGTCAACGAAATTCTGCCTTTGTGTTGTCACCTGTCAGCTGATTGCTCATGTCATGGCATGCTATGACTCCAGACTCCTGAACTGTTTGCTGTGGTAGTATAGTTCGTTTCGTTTTTAAGACATGTAAAATTAACACTTTTTAGCATTTTTCGATGTTGGTTGCAAATGTTTCGTCCAATACTGTATATAAAAAACGAATTTTGGTTAAAAAAATTGCAACATTGTTCGATCTATTGGTTTTTTTAGCACCATATATTATTCGAATCAAAATAACTAGGCAAGATTTGTGGATTGATGGAATTGAGTGGAATGATGCAATTCCGGATAGGATTGCAAATAATGTTGATCAATGGTTTCAAGAACTAAACAATCTCCCAAAAATAAACATTCCCAGATGTTTACAAACAACTTCAACAGTTACAAATAGGTCAATCTATGTTATTACGGAATCATCCTGCCATGTTATTACAAAATTATCTATTACGGTGCTGTTGCTTATCAAGAATGTTTATATGACGCAGGAGAAGTGACCTGTGTGACCATAATGTCAAAAGCCCGAGTAAGTCCATTGCAATCTATTAGTATAGCAAGACTTGAGTTACTTGGAGCTGTCCTCCGTTTACGACTTGCAGAGAAGATTGACAAAGCATTGAAGCTGGAAACTAAGGACGTAACTATATGGTGTGATAGTCTTAATGTTTTATGGTGGATAAAAAATAAAAGTCAAAATTTGAAACCATTTGTTGCCAACTACGTTGGATTCATTCAATCAAAGACTGAACTAAAACAATGGAGATACATACCAACAAAAACTAATGTAGCTGATTTACTATCAAGAGGAACAACAGTTAAAGAATTAGAAAGTAATAATGTATGGTGGTATGGACCAAGTTTCCTTAATTCTTTAGAAGAAAAATGGCCATAGAATCACATTAAAGTCACACAAGAGGCTTCAATTAAAGTAAAGAAAAATCCAGTATTAATGAATTTTTCATTATTCACTGAAGTAATAAAGCAATTGCTTGATATAAACAAGTTCTCATGTTGGAAAAAACTTGTCAGGATAAACGGCTGGATCCATTGGTTTATAGGAAATTGTTGATTTGAAACATACTTTCGTAAAAAGGGTGATATAGTAGCTGATGAATATCATGAAAGCGAAAAAGAAATCATAGCTAAAACTCAAAAGAAAACTTTAAAGAAGAATATAGCAACATTGAAAAAGGAAAACCGATATCGATATCAAGCAAAATCATTTCTTTAAATCCGCAAATTGACGAAGAAGGATTATTGCGATCTTGTAGTCGATTGCAAAATGCCAATTACTTACTCTACGATGTTAAGCATCCAATCATTTTGCCGAGAGGACATACAATAACAAAATTGATTGTTAAACATTACTTTGACGCTAATCATGTGATGGGAACAAATCAATTATTAACAAAACTATCTAAACGATATTGGGTAATACGAGGATGAGAAGAAACCCGATATTTAGAAGCAAAATGCAACAAATAAAAAATTAAGAAGATGTAAACCTGCTTAACTGCTATTGGCCCCTTTACCAGCAATGCGCTTTAAAGAACCATTACGTGCGTTTGCTAAAAATGGTACCAATTTTGCTGGTCCATTTCTTACTATACAAGGTAGAGGGAAGATACGACAAAAGAGATACTTGTGTTTGCTTACCTGTTTACTATCACGAGCAGTACATCTTGAGATGGCTTATAATCTCGATAAAAATTCATTCCTCAATGCCTTTTATTGAATGGTAAATAGAAGAGGATTACCATTAAAAGTTTTAACGGACAATGGAACAAATTTTGCTGGAGGATGTCGAGAACTAAACGAAATTGTCAACGACTTAGATAAGGATAAAATTACTAACTCTACAGCTGATAAAGGAATCAAATGGCACTTTAATTCTCCGCTAGGACCTTATCTTAGCGGTGTGTTTGAAATAATGGTCAAGGCTGTCAAACGTGCAGTGACAGGGATACTCGAAAAAGCCGATATTACAGATGAAGAACTCTGTATGGCATTTACAGGTGCTGAGAGTTTATTGAATTCTCGCCAATAACGTATCAGAGTGCCAATATAAAAGATGATACTCCATTAACTTCAAATCATTTTTTGATTGGGCAAGTTGGTGGACAATTCGCACCTGACTCAGTTCAATCTAAAGGCTATCATCCTAAAAAGCGTTGGCGTCAAGTGCAAGAACTGCTATGTCATTTTTGGAATCGGTGGATGCGAGAATGGCTTCCATCTTTATCTAAAAGATATAAATGGAATCAAGAAAAATGAAAAATAAAAACTGATGACATTGTGTTAGTAATTTCTCCAGATTCACCTAGAGGACATTGGCTGCTTGGTAGAATTTTGGAAGTCTTTGAAGGTAAAGATAGACGTGTGTTGAGTTGTGAAAGTCAAAATTGGTGAAAAAGAATTTATACAACCTATTACGAGATTGCGTCTTTTTGAGTTTGATAATTAAGAATGTTTGGTAGACTTTGATAGACTGTTTGATAGACTTTGATAGACTGGAGTCTATCAAAGAGGGGAAGAATGATTAGAAGAAAATTAAATTAGCATAAAAGAAAAACAAGATTCCGATACCACGATCGATATAACCAGTAAATAGCGCCAATATGGCTATAACTAAACTAAATTATATGGCGACTACTTGAACAATAGTGTTTTTTTGTTATTGAATGAAATTTTTGTATAAATAGAGTTTTGTTGTTGTTGTTTTTCAGATACAAAAATATAAAGAATATAAGTGATATAGTTAATGTAAAAACGGTTAAGATCTTAAAAATATAAGTTATAATACATATTCGGTATTATTTGTGATCGCCATCGGATCACCTTCGTTTATGCAATTTGTTAAATGCTTTTTTTGTTATAATAGACATTGTTAGAAATAATTGGTTTTGATAGTGAAATAGGATTTGGTCTAAAGTTAATTTAGGAGGATTTGCACATTCACGGATAGTGACTCTGCGCTGGACACAAATTTTGACAAATATATAAAGGTAAGTTTCCATCCATTTTTCTACGGGATGGGATACCCAGTGGGCACGGACATAAAAAAGACGTCTTTTAAACGTCTTATAAACGTTTTGGACGTCTTTTAAACGTTCAAAAGACGTCTTTTTTTGGTCCGGTGCCCACTGGGTAAGAAAGGTAAAACAATCACGTGAGCATGCGTAGTTTTACTTCAAACAAATTAAAACTTATAATATGCATGCCCACGTTATTTTTTTCCCCTTCCCTATGCCGTTCCCGTGAAAAAATGGATGAGTGGAAAGCTCTCCTCAACACCATCATAGCAAATGATTCATTCAGAGGGAAGAGGTGGTATCGAATGTTGACGTAATTTTATAGGGGATTTATGTTAAGTTTGACAAGTTATTAAAAAAGGGAAGGGGTAGGTAAAAATAAACAAAAATTGTTGATGTAACTAATCGGCAGCCCCTCATAACAATTTAAACGTATTTTTCCACGTCAATAAAACGCATTTTTTTAAAACGCGTTTACGCAATTTTTGTTAGAAAACTGTCTTTAAAAAACTGTGTAGATAAAACTGTTTGGCATAATTTTTTGATATTACCACAAACATTTTATATATTAACAAAACAGCAACAACAAAAAAGACAACAGCAGTTAATTTTTTAAATCGTCAAAAAAAAATTAACAACCATTCACAAAATTTTTGTAAACTTTAAATGTTATAGATTTTAAAAAAATCATTAATTTAAAGTTTTTAACGATAATTTTTCAATTTTATGAACTTTTAAAGTTTTTATGAACAAAATGTATTAAATGAACAAAAATGTATTAAACTTACAAGTATTTGAATATTGGTAATTATGAACTTTAATTCAAGTATTTAATACAGAAAAATTTTTAACAAGTTTTTATAGTTAATCTTTAAGTAAATCGTTTTTTTTTATTTTTTTATTTTGCATCAATTAAAGATAATTATTTTAGCATGACGTTTAATTTATTACTATGACCTGGTTGTTACTTATAAAAACAATGTATTTATTTGTTTTTTTTTAAATGCCTATTTAAACTTTTTAAACTTTTTAAAGTCGGCTAGAGCGATCCATAATATGGATGGAAAATAATCAAAACAACCTTCCTTCAAGGGCAGATTGTTTCAATTATTATTTATATAATTGTTTAAATAACATAACAAAATATATAATCCAAAACACAATTGCTTATTATGAAAAAGGTATTGCAATTTTACCATTACAGAGATTAAACTATTGGTTTTCCAAACATTTCTTCAATTATTTTCATTTTTAGCTTCATGCCTACTTTGTAATTATTTTACTGCCTAATGTATTGAAATGTTGTCTCGTAGAAAAAAGTTAACCATGCGTCGTTTATCAGGTGATACTGAAAATACTGATCAGATGTTTACTATATTATAGTAAAATTTTTATAAAATTACAATTCATTCCAAATTTAAATTGACTTGATAATATAGTAATATGACTGATTAAATTATCAATGTATAAATTTTTTTAGTTATAGTGTTAACGAGTGCTTCTACTTTGATTTGCCATTTAGAAAAAAAACTGTTGATTTAGAAGGGAATGAAAAGAATTAGAAAAACAAAACAAAAACCATTTAGGCGAAAATGTGATTTTAAAAGAGGAGGAGGAGGATGTACACTTTTTTAAAAGAGGAGGAGGATGTATACTTTCTTAAAAGAGGAGGATGTATACTTTTTTAAAAGAGGAGGATGTATACTTTTTTAAAAGAGGAGGATGTATACTTTTTTAAAAGAGAAGAAGGATGTATACTTTTTTAAAAGAGGAGGATGTATACTTTCTTAAAAGAGGAGGATGTATACTTTTTTAAAAGAGGAGGATGTATACTTTTTTAAAAGAGAAGAAGGATGTATACTTTTTTAAAAAAGGAGGATGTATATTTTTTTAAAATAGGAGGATGTATACTTTTTTAAAAGAGGAGGATGTATACTTTTTTAAAAGAGGAGGATGTATACTTTTTTAAAAGAGGAGGATGTATACTTTTTTAAAAGAGAAGAAGGATGTATACTTTTTTAAAAGAGGAGGATGTATACTTTCTTAAAAGAGAAGGAGGATGTATACTTTTTTAAAAGAGGAGGATGTATACTTTTTTAAAAGAGGAGGATGTATACTTTTTTAAAAGAGGAGGATGTATACTTTTTTAAAAGAGAAGGAGGATGTATACTTTTTTAAAAGAGGAGGATGTATACTTTTTTAAAGAGGAGGATGTATACTTTTTTAAAAGAAAAGAAGGATGTATACTTTTTTAAAAGAGGAGGATGTATACTTTTTTAAAAGAGGAGGATGTATACTTTTTTAAAAGAGGAGGATGTATACTTTTTTAAAAGAGGAGGATGTATACTTTTTTAAAAGAGGAGGATGTATACTTTTTTAAAAGAGAAGAAGGATGTATACTTTTTTAAAAGAGGAGGATGTATACTTTTTTAAAAGAGAAGAAGGATGTATACTTTTTTAAAAAAGGAGGATGTATACTTTTTTAAAATAGGAGGATGTATACTTTTTTAAAAGAGGAGGATGTATACTTTTTTAAAAGAGAAGGAGGATGTACACTTTTTTAAAAGAGAAGAAGGATGTATACTTTTTTAAAAGAGGAGGATGTATACTTTCTTAAAAGAGAAGGAGGATGTATACTTTTTTAAAAGAGGAGGATGTATACTTTTTTAAAAGAGGAGGATGTATACTTTTTTAAAAGAGGAGGATGTATACTTTTTTAAAAGAGAAGAAGGATGTATACTTTTTTAAAAGAGGAGGATGTATACTTTCTTAAAAGAGAAGGAGGATGTATACTTTTTTAAAAGAGGAGGATGTATACTTTTTTAAAAGAGGAGGATGTATACTTTTTTAAAAGAGGAGGATGTATACTTTTTTAAAAGAGAAGGAGGATGTACACTTTTTTAAAAGAGAAGAAGGATGTATACTTTTTTAAAAGAGGAGGATGTATACTTTTTTAAAAGAGAAGGAGGATGTACACTTTTTTAAAAGAGGAGGATGTATACTTTTTTAAAAGAGGAGGATGTATACTTTTTTAAAAGAGGAGGATGTATACTTTTTTAAAAGAGAAGAAGGATGTATACTTTTTTAAAAGAGGAGGATGTATACTTTCTTAAAAGAGGAGGATGTATACTTTTTTAAAAGAGGAGGATGTATACTTTTTTAAAAGAGAAGAAGGATGTATACTTTTTAAAAAAAGGAGGATGTATACTTTTTTAAAAGAGGAGGATGTATACTTTTTTAAAAGAGGAGGATGTATACTTTTTTAAAAGAGAAGGAGGATGTACACTTTTTTAAAAGAGAAGAAGGATTTATACTTTTTTAAAAGAGGAGGATGTATACTTTTTTAAAAGAGAAGAAGGATGTATACTTTTTTAAAAGAGGAGGATGTATACTTTTTTAAAAGAGGAGGATGTATACTTTTTTAAAAGAGAAGGAGGATGTACACTTTTTTAAAAGAGAAGAAGGATGTATACTTTTTTAAAAGAGGAGGATGTATACTTTTTTAAAAGAGAAGGAGGATGTATACTTTTTTAAAAGAGGAGGATGTATACTTTTTTAAAAGAGGAGGATGTATACTTTTTTAAAAGAGAAGAAGGATGTATACTTTTTTAAAAGAGGAGGATGTATACTTTTTTAAAAGAGAAGGAGGATGTACACTTTTTTAAAAGAGGAGGATGTATACTTTTTTAAAAGAGAAGGAGGATGTACACTTTTTTAAAAGAGAAGAAGGATGTATAATTTTTTAAAAGAGGAGGATGTATACTTTCTTAAAAGAGAAGGAGGATGTATACTTTTTTAAAAGAGGAGGATGTATACTTTTTTAAAAAAAGGAGGATGTATACTTTTTTAAAAGAGGAGGATGTATTTGATGAAAATAAAAAAAACTGTGAAGATATCATCTTGGGAGATGAAACAAACGATTTAAAAAGTTTTTTAAATTGTTTGCTTCATCTCAAGAAGATTAAAACTTTCTCAATGATCAGAAGTGATTTCATGTTCAAAAAATGTCGAGAAAAACAAAAAAAGAATTAAGAAAAATTTTAAATATTAAAAAGCTCATTAGGAAACAAAAAAAAGGTTGGGTTAGTGAAAAATTTGAGAAGACAAGAAAATATTTAGATACTTACAATAGTTAAGAAAATGAGCAGTATCTCCAGTTTTAAAAATTCAAAAAGTCTGTTGTTCCTATTTTTATTGAAAAATGAAGAAGATTTAGTTTCGATTGAATCACGATTTAGAATAAGTTACACAACACTGAGTGAAAAACTTGCTTCTTGTATTAATAACAGTTCGGGAAGCATTGATGATTATTTAATTTCTAAGTGAAGTATTTTAAGACAGAAAAAATTTAGAATAAATTAACATTTCCGATGGCTTCACGCCATGCCAAATTTATGTCACACGGAATTATTTACCATATGACCTATTTTAGCTACAACTAGTTTGTGTCCTAGTATAATATCATTGCAATAAAGAAATTTGATTCATAAAATAGCTTTATTTAATTATATTTAATTATTTAATTATATTTAATTATTTAAAGAACTATTTTATGTTTACTGGATCACTCCAATCTAAGCAATCTTTAAACACACACTTGGTATTTAAATAAAAGATTTATGGATATGTGCCCAGCTAATAAATGTTTATCTGTAAATCAATTACATAAAATAGCTTTTAAATCAGCACAACATTAAAAGTTTACAAACAGCAAAGCTATTCAAATGATAACACTATGTGACAAATTTTCACTTTTTTTCTGTTTCTGGATTGAAACTGTGCAGAAAGAGCAGTAAGAAAATTGCTGTTATTCCAGAAAAACTTTGCTTCTATGACCGGGACAATAAAATTTGGAAAACCGCGTATTTTTGAAAAAATTCTCAATTTGCTTTCAATGCCAAGTTTTCTCCTATAATATTTCTTAACTGCAAGAGTTGTTTCTACCAGATGTTTTTACAATCCTCCTAAACACTCTAGAAAGTTTAGGAAACTTCCAGAACTTTCGAGAAACTCTAAAAACTTTCTAAAACGTTCCAAAAGTATATCAAATATACACAATGTCCCACATGCGATCAACTTTAAATTACACTCTCATATATAGTTAAAAGTTTACAACCAAATTTGCTGAGCTCAGCTAAGCGCAGTAAGTGCTAGGCCTTTTATTATAAAAGATATCCATTTGTAGATTTTGCTTTAAAAAACTGAAGAAGACACATGAAGAAGACACATGAAGAAGACACATGAAGAACGGTTTTAAATTTTTAATCATTTAAACCTTATTAAAATCTTTTAACAAGGTTTAAATCGTTAAATACATCCTAGTATCTTGAACACTTGTTAACTCAAACTTTTGTATCTCTAACTTCTTTTACTGTTGCCTTGGAGGCAGTTATACATTGCTAAAGTCAAATATTCGTTTAGTTGGACCGTTTTCCTTGGTCCGCCGGAGGTTCATGTTATCTGTAATTAACTGTATATATATATATATATATATATATATATATATATATATATAGTAGTAGTAGTAGTAGTAGTAGTAGTAGTAGTAGTAGTTTTTTTTTTTTTTTTTTTTTTTGTATGTATTTAGGTGCTCCCAGAAGTCCTTACGGTCTTATCATAGAGCACCGTGGGTAGTAGTAGTAGTAGTAGTAGTAGTAGTAGTAGTAGTAGTAGTAGTAGTAGAAAAATTGCTGCAACAGGTTTCCCTGTATAACCTACAGGTTTTGGCAGCCTTATCTACTTCATACACTAATTTTATTTATATCAATATATAAAAATTTATAATAAGATATGTAGTATGAAGTTCAAGTTTGTACTTTATTGTTTTTCCTTTTTTTTTTTTTTTTTAGTTGTAATCTCGATACTTATGCGAATTATTTGAAATTTCTGCATCAAGCTTAGCCTTGAAACTGTTAACTGATGAAGCGCATACAACTTCTGACGGCAATGCATTCCAATGATTCACTATTCGATTAGTGAAAAACTGGTGCCTTTGCTCGCAATTTTGAATATATTCTCTAGTCATTTTTAGTGTCCTTTAGTTTTTATTTTATTTGACTCCCCAACACGAAGGACATGGGGTTCACTCCATAAGACAATGTCTATATTGTTAATAATTTTATAGGCCTGTATCAGATCTCCCTTAATACGACGGGTTTCTAAAGACGTTAAGTTCAGTATATTCAGACGATCATATGACGGTTTGAAGGTACTAAACGGGTAGCTCTTCTTTGTACTTTCTCGATTTTGTCATTATCTATTCTTGATGATGGAAAGCTGGCTGCTACCGCAAATTCCAGATGAGGTTGTACAAAAGTTGTATATAGAATTTTAAGAAGTTGCAGAGTCATGTGACTGAAAGTACGATACAACATGCCTAATACACGGTTAGCTATATTGGTGGCAAAAGTTGAATTTTTATGCCATTTTAAGTCTGGCGTAATCATGATGTCTAAATCACGTTCGACTAAAGTCGATGCTAGTTCGACACTGTTATTGTTATTAGCTGGCATTAAGTAGACATAAAAGTTTTTTTTTTAACCTATGTGCATGATTTTACATTTATCGAGATTAAGTTTCATTTTCCAGGTTTTACACCAATCGGCTATGTTGTAGATATCAGTTTGAAGCATTTGTGAAGCTAATGGGTGGTCTAAACGGGCCAGCAGTTTAGTGTCACCAGCATACATTTTACATGGATGGTTAACAATATATATACCGGATATATCGTTCACAAAAATGATAAAAAGTATTGGACCTAATACGGATCCTTGAGGGACGCCACTAAATACCTCAAGCCACAAGGAAACATAATCGCCCATCACGATTCGTTAAAAACGCTGGTGTAAAAATGATTTTATCCAATTCAGGATATTTCCAGTAAAACCATATGCCTCAAGTTTGTAAATTAGTCTCTTGTGGGGAACCATATCGACTCCAACAAATTAGTCACACAAGCTTTTTTATTGACAAAACCATGTTGATTTTTTGAAATAAGGCTATGTTCGACTAAATGATTGACCATAGTGTCACGTAATTATTTCTCCATCACTTTACATACAACTGATGTTAAGGATATAGGCTGGTTATTGCCTGGGTCGAGTCTACTTCCGTTTTTAAACAGTGGTGTTACATTAGCTTTTTTCCATACTTTAGAACAACACCTACTATCTAGCTACTTCTAAAAAATTGCGTTTAAAGGTATTGAAAAGCTGTCAGAACAGTTCTTCAGTACATATGCGCTTACACCATCCAAGCCAACAGTTTTGTCAACTGATAAAATGCTCAGGTTGTTTTTAACCAGATCTTGCGTTATTTGCGAGTATTTGGAGATGGCTTTAGTTTGTTTTATAAAATATGGCAGTTCATCGTCTTCATTTTTGTTGAAAACACTTTGAAAGTGATTGTTCAGCCGATTTGCAATTTCTATTGGATTTGTGATAGTGTGGCCATTGATTCTTTTTTAAGGCTGTTATTGTAGTTCTAACATTTTGTTTGCTATTAACATATTTGAACAGGATCTTAGGGTTGTGCTTCGAATTTATGGCTAAATCAAGTTCAAACTCACAACGAGCTTTATATATGAGCTTCTTCAATTGAATATAACACGCTTTGTATTCGTTGACTAGTTTACGATTTTTATATCCATTCGCTCTACATCGAAACCATATTTATTTTTAGCTTTTATTTTATTCTTGATGCCATCATTCATCCATTCGCTTCTACGACAAATCCATTTTAAGTTGGGACATAAGTTTTGCATGCAGCCTCGTAGTATATATATATATATATATATATATATATATATATATATATATATATATATATATATATAATTTGTGTTATATGTGTGTATACGTGTGATGTATCTATATCCAAAAGAGTTGCTATCTTGGTCAATAATGAAGTAAATTAGGCATTGATCTGTAATGAGTTATTTTTTTCATAGTATTAATTACTTGATGTTCACATTTGCATGTGAACAATATGTATTATATTATTACTTGTAAAATGTACGAATATTTTACTTTTAAGATGTTTTTATTTAGATGCAGTTACTTGATGTTGTAAAATTAAAAAAATACAATGCACAAAGATATATATTTGCTGTTTGAAGTTTGCACAATATTGATTAGATAGTGCATCAAGTCAAAATGAAAGTCTGATAACAGAAGGCGATAAAGGTACATATAAATTGACGACGAAGATAACGATGACACGATTTTATCAAAATTTTTTTAAAAATATATTTAATTTTGTATAATTTTTTTTTTAATGTTTAAGTTATTTTTTTGGTTTTATATGCTTTTAATTATAATTTGGTTACCTGCGTTAAAAAATGGTAAAGGGGTAGATTATTCGTAAAACTATAATAACAGTTATTAATATAATACAAAATAAATTATTAATACTTATAAGTAAAAGCTGCAACAATTGAGAATAAGATGTTGAGTACAATAACATATAGTAATAAGATATCGTACTATGACAACTATTATAAGTTTATGAAGAATTATTTTTTATCTAAAAATCAATCTTTTTTAACCTAAAATTTTAACGCTTTTTCAACGTTGATATGCTTGCTGGGTAATTATTTTTGTTATGCTTAAGCAGGTTTTTTACATTTTGTGGATTGTTGTTTTGTATTAATTTTATGCGAACTTGTAAAAAAAGACGATTTATGGAAGATTTATTATTTCTATTTATGTATGTAAAGAGTTTTTATTTATGTAAATAGAGGTTTGGTAAAAAGTTTAAGTTTAGTAAAAAGAAATTTGTTTTTGAGAAAAAAAGATTTTTAACTTCTCGTGTTGAAAGCGAGAAAACTACATCATCTAGTACTTTTAATGTCGTCTAAATAACTTTTCAAAATGTCGTTTTTATCTAGGAAATTGTAATTATCTCGAAAAAATTCGTGGTTCAAACCCCAGAAGTGGGTTTGAACCACAAATAAGGAGTCAGGGAAAATTCAGACTCCAATCAACCTGACGAGGCCAAGGGGCTCTTGATCTACTAATGTATAAACTTTTACGTGTATAACTATTATTGTGATTTTAGGATTATTCTTTTTTGATATTTATTACTATTTTAAAATTACTTTTTAAAATTACTAATTAAAATTACTAAAGTTTACAGAATAATTATTCTAAAAAATCACGTGTTTTAATCCTTAAACCAATGAAATGATTTTTTATATATACTTTATTACCTTAAACTATAAAAAATGAAATAGATGAACTTTAAATATTTGCTTCACCATTGCTCTGAGCCGTTTTATCCACTTTTAGTAAAAGATAAATAACTATATATATATATATATATATATATATATATATATATATATATATATATATATATATATATATATATATATATATATAAAAAAATTGCAAGAATTAGATCGTAGATGTTTATACATAATAGCAGTAATAACAGTCTATGATGTACAGTCTATGATGATAGTGTACAGTCTATGATGATGGTGTACAGTCTATGATGATGATGTACAGTCTATGATGATGATGTACAGTACATGATGATGGTGTACAGTCTATGATGATGGTGTACAGTCTATGATGGTGTACAGTCTATGATGATAGTGTACAGTCTATAATGATAGTGTACAGTACAAAGATTCTTATTTACAATTTAAAAAAATCCATTAGAAAAATTTCATTAAAAATGTAAATTAGAAAAACTAGAATATAAACTTCAATAAATATACTAAAATTTCAACCTAAGAAATTAAAGAACAAAAATTCAAACAAACATAAAAGTTATTAGCGAAGAAGTAAAAAAATAGAAAAAATTCATATTTCCACGTGTATTAGAAAAATAACAAAATCAAAAAATCAAAAATAAATAATAAAAAAAAAAACAAAAAAAAAAATAAAAAAAACAATTCACCAAAAATAAAGTACTATGTAAAAAAATTAAATTGTAAAAATTAGATTAAAAAGTTGCAAAAAGTGTTACTGCAACACATTATAATAAAAACTTTTTAAAATAATATAAAACCGTGTTTATAATTTTTCTATTATTTCGCAATTGACGTTCGTTCTTCACTCTTGTTCATGGTTACAACCCTTGATAAACTTGCACTCGACTGTTAGTTGAAGCCGCGTGTAACTGATGAAATAAATCAAAAAAAAAATTTTTACATAATTTTATGTAAATTATATAGAATTATATACAGTATTGGACAAAACATTTGCAACCAACATCAAACAATGCTAAAAAGTGTTCCTAATTCTACATGTCTTAAAAACGAAACGAACTATACTACCACAGCAAAGAGTTCAGGAGTCTGGAGTCATAGCATGCCATGACATGAGCAATCAGTTGATAGGTGACAGCACAGGCAGAATTTCGTTGACAAGTGCCATTTTGCAGCGGACAAAACAAGTGCAACTTTTTTGGTTTGTTTCATTTTCAAGTCTGGTCCGTGTCAACGTCACGGAAGTTTTTTAATGATTAAAGGAAGTATCCAGAAGCATGCAGAAGCTTCCATAAGTTTCCAGAAGAAGCATCCAGAAGTATCCAGAAACATTCAGAAGCATCCAGACGCATCCAAAAGCTTTCCAGACGCATTCAGAATCATTCAGACGCATCCAGACGCATCCAGAAGCTTTGCAGACGCATACAGAAGCTTCTAGAAGCATCGAGAAGAAGCATCTAGAATCTTCCAGAACAGGTTCACACAGGTTCATTTTACTATATGAGACATGTAAACTGACATGTAATTCAGTCAGTATATGGAAGTCAATCAGTCAATGTTATCAAGACAGTTTATCGAAGTGAGTTTTATCAAAGTGTTTTATCGAAGAACATAAATACAAGAAGTGAAATACAACAAGTGTTTCATTACATCAATACAGTCCACATCCAACCAAGACGTTGTGTTCCACAGAGCATTATTGTATCACCAGAAGGTAAGTGTAACACGGTAAGCCTTGGGAAGCGTGATTATTTATTTTTATCATTTTTATGATTTCAAGTGCAAAAACGGCTCCTGACAGTCTTGGATTGGAACTAAGAAAGAAAATTATTGGCGATTACGTAAGTGGAATGTCACAAAAAAGTATTTGTGATAAATATCGTGTAAAAAAAATGAACCGTATCAAGACTATGTTCCAAATATCGTTCTACGGGGAAGTTGGCAGCAGATAACAAAGGTGAAAGACCGCGTTCCACCACTTCAAGAGAGGATTCTATGATCATCAGATCATAGAATCCTCTCTAGAAGTGGTGAACAATCAGACAATGTGCTGTTGAAGCCAAATTGTTTACTTGACGCCCTGCAAAGAAACCGCTGATTTCACTAAAAAACCAGAAGAAAAGACTTCTGTTTGCTACATCTCATGTTGACTAGAATGTGCAGAAATGGCGAACTTTCCTGTTCAGTGATGAATTGAAGTTCAACATCATTGGCAGTGATGGCATTTGCCGTGTACGTCGACCGGCTGGAAAACACCTCAATTTACGTTACTGCCATAAGACCATGAAGCATGGTGGAGGCAATAAAATGGTCTGGGAGTGTTTTTCTGCTAACGGTCTAGGTCCAATACATCGAAACGATGGAATAATGGACCGTTTCATGTATAAAAATATCCTGAAAGATGTTATGTAACCTCATGCTGAATGGAATATGCCAATAAAATGGGTTTTTCAGCAAGACAACGATCCGAAACACACTGCAAAAGTAGTCAAGCAGTGGTTTCAAGACAGCCACCTATCGGTGATGGATTAGCCGCCTCAATCTCTGGATCTTAACCCTATCGAGAACCTGTAGGAGATCGTCAACCGCAAAATTAATCATGAAGGTGTTCATAATAAAGATCAACTGTTTGAACAAATCCAAAAAGCCTGGGCAGCGATTCCACAAAGTTTCATTGATCACCTGATTGAATCTATGCCTCGAAGATGCTAGGCTATGATCGACAACAAAGGATTCACCACAAAATATTGATAGCGAAATACAGCTTGGTCAACATTTTGTGGAGTTGCACTTGTTTTGTCCAGAAGGAAACCAACTTTTTTAAATACTTTTGATTAGTTTATTAATTTTCGTGTACAAATAATGAACTTTGTGATGAATAAAACTTGAAGAACGTTGTCTTTAAACAGTTACATAGTTAATTCTCTAAATTGAAAAAATGCAGAAACTAAATTAGTATTATTTGGTTGCACTTGTTTTGTCCGATACTATAGTTAAACAGAACCATAAAAAAACAAACATTTTTTTTTTTTTTTTACTTAATTTGTTTTATTTACTTTGATTTGTTCTATTAAAAAGTATTAAACTAATGACAATATTTTAAGAGAGTTTCCAGCACTGACCACAAGGGTTAAAGATTCAAATGGTTTTAAAAATTTAACTAATTCAGAAATCAAGGCTTGTTTATCATTATCTAAACAAAGGTCTTGACTACCACATTTTTAAAGTAAAATTTCTACAGAATCTAATAACTGGTTAATTAATCATTAAGAGAACATCTTGTGCATATATGTTATTTTTGGCTCTTATGCTGTTTTTTATAAAATTATTCTTAAATTTCTTTTTACACGCGCCATTAAAATTTCTTTTTTTAATCATGTTTGAATTATCATAAATTTGAATCAGAAATGGCTATTCTAAATCATGCTTTTTCGTAAGAGGCGTGCGATCGGACGCTTTATATGTTGATAATAAGCGCATTTAAAAATTGCGCTAAAAGCAAATTAAAATAAACAATCCATAAACTGAAAAGAGAATAAAATCCTTAAAATAATATATATAACAAAAACTAACCTAAAAAAGTTAAATATTTAAAGAATGATAAAATAAATAAAGGAAAAACTAGAAAAAAAAATCAAAACACGTATTAATTAATTTAAACTTAATTGAAAGCAAATGTGAAAAAATCACAGCTCTAATAATCTTTATCATTCCTTCCCATGAATAAATAGGCTAATACAATGGCGGATCCATAGTGTGGGAAAGGGAAATGAAATTTAATAAAATTTTGTCGTGCAAATTTAAAATTTCATTAAAAAGTTAAAAGGATACAGGGTGCAACAAATCGACAAATGTGCGCGCATTCTTTTAAGACAGACAGAAAAACAAACATCACGTTTGTTTAATTTTGCTTATACAAACCTTGCTGTTTGATTAAGATTTTTCAAAACAAACGCGTTACTTTTCAAAATAATTTCGCGATCAAAAGTTTTTTATTTATTACAAAAAACACATATTTAAAATGAAAAACAATTAATTGGAGAGACTAAAAAATGCCAAAACTTTTTTTTATTGCGTCACTTTTAAGTAAAATAATAAAAAGTAATTATGTTTTAGCATGGTTTTTGCATGCGCTCACAAAAATATCATAATTTTACTTAAAATAGAAAACTTCAAAAGAAACCGTCCTTAAACAATTTGATTGCTTTCTTTAATTGAAGAAAGCGATCGTAATGTTTAAACTTGGTTTCTTTTCTGCTTTTAGCAATTACATTAAAAGTTTACAGCAAATGATTTCATTATAAATAAAATTGTGCATGCTTTTTTTTTAATTTTCTTATTTTCCATAAACTGAAATAATGTTTGTTTGCATATTAAAAACACTTTCAAAAGTTTTCTTTACCGTGCGTTTATCATTAATTTGCGCGCGCTTTGCAAATGTGTAAAAAAAAAGTTTTTGAAAAATAACAATTGAATAAATTTACCAAGCATCTTTGATATATTTGATAACTTATTAACTAGAATAAAAATTATTTGAAATTTGTTTGACATAAATCTCTTAAATTAGACGTTCGTCAATAAATAAAGATACGCAAGTCAACGTTCATTAAAAAAAACGGTACGTCACGCCCTGGGATAAGAAATAGTTGGCAAATGCGACTATTTCTAGACTATTTTAATTCTTTTTTTTAAGTAAATAATTTCTTTATTAGAAGTTATAGTTCCATGATAAAAAGGCTCGTAATTATTTTTTGATAGCTTCTGTATTCATTTTGTCTTAAACTCTAATCTGAATATTTTTTTCAACGATTGCTTTTATTAAGGGGCCATCCATAAAGGACGTCACTATTTTTTAGCCAACTTTTGACCCCCTCCCTCCCCCTTTGTCACCGGTTGTCCTTTTTCCCTATACCTCCCTTGAAAAGGACGTCATAAAATCCTGAACCCCCCCTATTTTTAACTCCAAAAAAATTTATTTCATCTCGCAATGATGTTTGAATCTGCTGCTACACCTTTGAAAAATAAAATTAAAAATATTCTCATACATTATCTTCTTAAAAACACATGTTTACGTAGTTTTCCATGTTAATTAAACTAAAATAAAAAATCTATAAAGTGACGTCCTTTTCTGACAACCTCCCTCCTCCCCTTGTCCTTTTTTGTCCTTTTTAACTCGACCCCCTCCCCCCCTCCTCTATTTGGATGACGTCCTTTATGGATGGCCCCTAAGTTGCATTAAAGTACTCAGGAAATTTTGTGGCAGTTTAATTGTAATTATGGAATCAATTAAATTAAAAATTGCATTTTACGTTTGCATTGTTTTCTTTAAGCGCATTTTTTAAACGCGCTAATTATCGAAACTTGCAAAGAGCCGTGGTCAAGTTGTTAAAACAAAGAACTATATGCGTGGTCATATAAAGCATCCAATCGCACGCCTCTTACGAGAAGGCGTCAATATCTTTCACTTCAGCAAGAGTTAGAAGATTGTTATATAATAAAATATGACGGAAAAGAACATTAAAACGTTTTGTCTTTATAAACAATCTTTATGATAATTTTTTATGATAATTTCAACCTTTAGTTTTAAAGCTCTATTGTCTCTCATTTAAGGATGATGTTCTCTTATTTAAGGTTGATGTTCTCGCATTTAAGGGTGATATTTACTTATTTAAGGTTGAGGTTCTCTCATTTAAGGGTGATGTATTCTTATTTAAGGTTGAGGTTCTCTTATTTAAGGGTGATGTTTTCTTATTTAAGGTTGAGGTTCTCTCATTTAAGGATGATGTTCTCTTATTTAAGGTTACATTTAAGTATTATCATTTATTTGACAATTATTTATTTGACTTTAAAGCTAAAATAGCAAATCATTTTTTCACAAAAATAACACAAGTATTTTTACTTCAAAAGTTGTTTTAATTTGTTACAGAAAACTGTATAAAAAAAGAAAAGAAAAAAAAAAAAAAAAAAAAAAAAATTAAAAAAGTGATTTTAATTGGTTAAAAGAAAAAAGATTTGGAATAATAGTGTAAAATAATGCATCACTATTTATATATAAATAAAACAACAATTCTGAAAAGATATTTAAACAGATTTCTTTATAGGAAAAAAAAAATCAAGGCTTTGACTTTACTATTTTTAATAATTAAATAATGAGAAGCTTTAATCTTTACTTAAATATATTCTTCACTTAAACATATTGTTCTAAATAATGACATCATAGATAAAAATAAAACCCAAGTTTAATATGGTCTATAAACTTTTTCTCTACTTTTTTTTTATATAAAAAGCAATAATCATGTCATTTTCCATTATAATTTTCATACTTGAAAGTTAGAAGTATTTAGTTTATTAAAAATCTAATTATTGCATGCAATAATGCATGCAACATACAAATGTATAATACTTTATCTTAATTCTAATTGTTTAGCCATTTACAAATTATAGGAAATACGAACATGTAACTTACCTTTTGCAAAGTTGAATATTTTGTTTCTCCTTTAACAACATTTTCAAGATGAATACGATCCAGCATATCTTGACTACCAGTTATTTTTAGACCCTACACAGAAATATTAGTTATTTTTATACCCTATACAGAAATATTAGTTATTTTTTAAAGATAATTTTCTAAAATTTTATCTAAAAATTAACTTTATAAGCTTAGATTACATTTTAATCTAAAATTACAAAGACACTTTCAAATAATTACACTTTTAAACAATTCAAAAACAATAACCTTAAGTTATATCAATTTCAAAAGTTTTATCAAGTTTCAAATCAATTATCTAAGACTCAATGTTATGCATATCTTGACTAATTTTGGAATTTGAACACGGAAGCGATCGGACGTGCTTTGCTTTTGTTTAAACGTTTTATAAATTTACAAAACAATTACTTATTTTTTTTATCTATTTCAAAATTTTTAATAAAAATAAAAATGGCTAAATACGATGAATATATTTATAACAATGATGAGAGAAATAACGCATATACAAAAAGAAACGATTATAACTTTTTTTGTGAAATTGCAAGCAGCTTAAATATCAAGATTGAAACATTTCACAAAATGTTTATGATGTAAAAAAGGAGCTTTGTGAAAATAAAGGAAGCATGAATTTTATTGGTGATGAAATGGAAGACAAATTAAACAGTGTCAATAATAAAATCGCAAAGGTTTTCAAGCAAATAACTAATGTAAAAAAGTACAAGGAAAAATCATTTCTGACAGCACTGAACTCAATAAAAAAACGTAGACATTGAGTATAGAAACAGATGAAATAACTTACGAATTGATGGACTCATTGAAGGTACAAATGAAAAAGATTGGGAAGACACTAAAAATAAATTCCAAAAACTCTTTGTTGAAAAACTTGGAATTGCATATGATATTAGGATTGAATGTGCTCATCAGTTGGTAATGGTGGTTCTGAATGAGAGCGAACATTTGTGCTAAAGTATATAAAATTGGAATGATGTCTATAATTGTCATAATACAAATAAAACTTTTAGTAATTTTTTAACTAAATTTTTAGCGATATTCGACGAAGCTTGTATGAAAAAATAAAAATTAAAACAAAAGCACTTAATAATCCTTGAATGAATAAAACACTTTTAAAGTGTTCTAACCTTTAAAACAAAAACTGTACAACAAATTCTAAAAAAATATAAGTACAGAGAATGAGGAAATATACAAAAATTATAAGCATTTTTATGAACATTTTCTAAAAAAAAATGTATTTTAGTAAACAAATTAGCTATTGTTTGATGTTAAAAAAAACATGGTTATTAATTAATGACAAAATGGGTCAAAGTCAAACAAAAAGTTTAGTATTATATCAAGGAATTATAATTAATAAACCAGATATATTTTGTCCTAATAAATTATCAAACGAGTTTAATAAATACTTTACAAATGTTGGAATTAGTCATTTAAAAAATATCTAAAAAAATCAACAGATGCAACAATGTATGACAGTGACTTTACTTTTGTATGATAGAAAATTTGATGCAGCTTATTTTTTCTTTCAAAAAAATCTCTAGGGTTTGATGAAATTCCTTAATAATATCTGTAAAACTAATTAAAAAAGCATTAGTTCCACATCGTAAACTTTTCTTTAAATCAAGGAATATTTCCTAATATACTTAAGCTTGCAAGAGTATACCCAATTTATAAAAATAATATCTAACTATAGAACCATATCGGTACTTTCTGTTTTTCTCAAAAATCTTTGAAAGTGTAGTTTATAATAGAATCTTTAATTATTTTACAAAAAATAAATTTTTTAATCCAAAACAATTAAGATTTAAAAAAAAAACATTCAACTGAACATGCCATTATTGAATTAATTGATAAAATAACTGATGGTTATAAAAATGACAAGTTTACTCGCGGAGAATTCATAGATTTGTCAAAGGCATTTAACACTGTTGATCACTTTATTCTGTTATAAAAGCTAAAATAGTACAGAGACTGAAATAAATTATATCTTGGATAAAAAGTTATCTATCTAATAGAAAACAATATGATCAAAAAACAATTATACAATCAAAAATTAGTAAAACCATTAGTATTATATACTTTGCCCATACATAAATTCACAAAGTCTAAAGCTTATATATTTCTGCTTAATTCATTGCTACATTACTTATGCAAATATTACGTGAGCAAGTTGTCAAACAACAAGATTTAAAAAAATTCTTTGTTTACAAAAACATGCTAGTAGAGTTATATACAACAAAAAATGGGGAGAGGAGAGGAAAGGGGGGGGGGATCACACTAAACCTTTAATGATGGATATGAAAATGATAAACATATATCAGATAAATATTTACCAACACCTAAACTTTATGTATAAATATACAAAAAATCTAACTCCTGAAATCCTGAAATAAATTTGATAAATATCTAAACAAGAAGTATTTCTTAAGAATAAATCTAAGTAACACATATAAATTACCTAAAAAAGTAAACAGAAGTATAACTTATAGAGGACCCAAGGACCTTTGTTGCTATGGAACTCTTTTGAAAGGCAATTTAAATGTGGCAAAATCATTAAATTAATTTCAGTATCAAACAAAAACTTATATTTTAAATCTTACAGAATAACTTTTATGTATATTTTTATTTTTGAATCAATAAAAAAGTCTTTAGGCATTATATCTTCTTATTAAACTGTTTCTATTTTAAAATATTATACAGTCGACTCTTGCACTCTTGCACTTGACATTTCGAATACTTGATATCTCAAACTTTTTTAGCAGTCCCATGGACATAATGTACTAGTTTAAGCTAAAATCCTCTCGATATCTCTAACCTTAATATCTCAAACTTTTTGGTATCTCGAACAATATTTTCGGTCCACAGGGCAATTATCTTGAACTTTTCAACATCTTTTTTTTAAAGAAATGCTTTGATAAGATTTAATTTTTTTAAATTCCAATTTTCGAAAAGAAATTTTTTTAAATTTGATTTTTAAATAGATTTTTTTAAGAATCGAATTTCTGAAAAGTATTCCTTTAATAATAATAATATTAATTATTTCTTAATATATTAATTAATATATTAAGAAATAAATAATAACAAAGCGGCATGTTGTTGCGTTTGACAAAAAGAATAAATTAATATAACTAATATATTAATTTATTCTTTTTGTCAAACGCAACAACATGCCGCTTGTTAAACGAAAACTCACAAACAAATCTATAATAGAAAAATGCAACCTAACAAAGAGGTTGCCAAAAAGTATGGAGCCCCAAAGAACACATTATCAATCTGGATTAAAAACAAAAACCAAGTTAATAACCTCACCGAAAAAAAAATGGCACAAAATCTAAACAAAAGAAACTTTGTAGTGGTAATTTCAAAAATGTAAACAAGACCTTATACACGTCGTTCGTTGCAAAAAAGTCAACAAGTTCCAATTGATGGTACCATACTGAAAGAAAAGGCACTAAAATTTGCAGTAGCATCAGGAGAGTTGGATTTTAAAGCATCTGATTGTTGGTTTCATAATTGGAAAAAAAGGTCAGTTAAATTTTGTCAAATCCTATTCAATTTAAATATAAACAGATAACATCTATCTGTTTATATTTAATTTATTTAGTTTTTTAAACGTGTAATTAAAATTCAATTATTCTGTTCCTATTTTTAGGAACAAATCAGTTTTAAAATAAGCTCAGGCAAAAGTGCTGTTGTAATGAATAATCTGATTGTTTCATGGAATGAAACTACACTTCCAACATTGCTTTCGAATTACAAACTTGAAAACATTTTCAATGCCAATGAGTTTGGACTATTTTACCAGTGCCTACCAAACAAAACATACCATTTATCACGAGAAAAATGTTTTGGTGGAAAAAATAGTAGAGTCAGACTACGAGGCATAGCAGCAGGGAGTGCAACAGGATAAAAACTACCTATGTTTGTTATTGGAAAATCTAAAAGCTCACAGTGTTTTAAGCACATTAAACAACTTCCTTGCAAATATAAAAATTAGCTAAAAAGTTGGATGATTTGAAACCTTTTTACAAAATGGGTAAAGAAACTTGACTCATTTTTTTTGTGCTCAAGACAGGAAAGTAGCACTCCTGGTTGATAACTGTTCTGCCCACCGACACATTAAAGGGCTAAGCAACATCAACCTAATATTTCCCCCCCCCCCAAGACAACATCTGTCCTTCAGCCCTGGATCAAGGCGTAATACAAACCTTAAAGCTCATTATCGTCATAAAATTGTGTGTTTGTGTATCAAGGCTGTTGATAATAATGAACCCATGCCAAAAATTTCTATACTTCAAGCAATCAAAGATCTTGTTTCTTTGTGGAATGCTGCGTCGAAGGAGACTGTCATCAACTGCTTTAAAAAAGCTGGTATCAGCAAAACAAGCAAGAGTATTGAAGAAGCTGATGATGATCATCCTTTTAAATTTTTGACAGAAGAACTTAACCATTTGAGAGAGTTAGATCCTAGTGCTATCCAAGAAGATCTCTCAGCAGAATCTTACATTGGTTTAGATTGCAATATAGTAACCACTGGTTCACTTGCTACTGATGCTGAAATCATTGCTCAGATTTTAGACCCTAATTTTGAAAACAACGATAATGAAGATAAAGATAGCATTGACGAAGATATTGATGTCAAAGCCCTGCCACAATTTTTATCAGAAAAATAACTTGTTTTAATGAAAGCTGGGTGATTTTATTTATTTTCAACCCTTTTCTTGATACCTCGAATTTTTTTTTCGGTCCCCTTAGTGTTCGAGATATCGAGAGTTGATTGTATGTAATCTTTATATATTATATGTTGAATATGATATTAGATATTAGTGATGTACCGATATCACTTTTTTGGCCGATGCCAATAGCGATGCCGATGGATTAGAAAAGGCCGATACCAATACTGATGAATTAACTAATTATTAAAAATTTGAAAATATAAACCCATACATCTTTAAATTGATACTGGTAAATAAATACTTGGACCCAAATCAAAGCCAAACAATTATTTTAATCTTTGTTAATCAAGGTTTGTGTTTCCAAGTTATAAAATTGAGAGTGGG